AGTGATATATATATATATATATATATATATATATATATATATATATACATATATATATATATTTATGATTATATACAAAACCGAGTTATACAACGTAAAATCACGCAAGAACAAAAATACGAAAATAAAGGCGGCGAAGTTCTGAGGAGCCGAAGTCCCCCAAAACATGGTTAAGAAATAGTGGCTCTGGATTAGTTCTGGATCCCGGAAATGAGAAAAGTGCTTTTATAGATTACTAAGATTGCAAAACTTTAGCGGAGTAAGTTGTTCAGAGTTTCAACCAGGGACTGAGGTATTACATCATAGTGACGCAGTTACGCCATTTCTTACAATGAACCATAAGTCATTATCTGACATATTATGTGACAAAGGGAAAAGTGTTTTTCTGGGAACAAGCAAGTGCGCAGCTATTTCCAAATATCACTTTTCAATGAATCAGTTGAAAATTGTTAAATGATTTATCTCTAATGCTCAACCTCCTGCTAGTGATGGTCGAATGGGGAAGTGTAGGAGAACGGTAACAGTCCGATAAATCACGTAAGCAATTGAGAAAATGCGATACAGCTGGTATTTCCATTCGAAAAAACGATGAGACCAAGAAAGCGAAAACCTTGATCACCAGCAAACTGTCTGTCACGTGAATTAATGGAATAGGAGATAAAGAATTAGTGTAAATATCATGTGCAAGAAAACATTTTTAGATGCATTTGTTTGTTTCATCTCTTAGCTGTAAACAGAAACCAAGCGGTGCTTCGATCACCGAAATCAGTAAAAGTTTATCAGCTACGGTGGTGATTTAGAAATGTGCAACGCGAAGAATCGACCGGTAACGTAAATTTTTTTTAGGATGCTTTCTGCACGAAAGTTGTGAATACACTGTTCCGGCTTCTAGCTATGATACATTTGGTATATCTTGGAGTAGTTTTCGATGATAGTGCTGCGGAAACAGGATATTCGTGGGCGCATACTGTGAAAGTATGGGCAAATTCGTACTTTTATAGTCACATTATCGGAGCTGTCACTCTGCTGCTGTCGTACTTCATAACGAGAAGTTCACAGTAAGGTATTTTTACAAAAATTTAGCTTCCTCCTGTTTTGTCCCGTTTATTTTGAAGTAACGAGAGATCGTCTTCGAGATTTGAGAGCTAAACAAGTATATCTCTCAGTAAAAACATCTAACATAGCTACACTCGAACATGTGTATAGAATAATATCCAAGCTATGCAGCGACACTTCGGTCGATACTCATAATCATTAAAGCTAAAACTGAAGAAAACGCTTTTTCGCACCCCCACTCACCTCGTCCCTCCTTCTCCCCCTCCCCCAACACATACTCCCGACCCCACCTCCTCCCCAGTCATCGCCCCGCCGGTTGACCTACTTCCTTCCCCTTCCTCTTCCCCAGGAGAGCTGTCCTGGATTCATCTATGAGTGCAGGATCAGTTCAGCAGAAGTAGGAGCTCGTAATTTCTACGAATACAGATGAAAATTTTGCCAAAATTAACCAGACGAATTGGATTACAATTACGGGGAGAATGAAATCAACGTAGCCAAATTTAGTTATTTTGAATCGCACGATATCACATTTACTGGCGCATTTTCGCTATAATTGTGGCCGTGACATTCCAGGCAAAAACAGTCGTACTGATCGGTCGCTCAAATGATAGTTGAAAATACTTTCCGCATACGGTGCTTCACCATTTCTTTCTAATATACGTAGCTAAAAATAAATAATAAATTTTAAGGTAACTTTAGAAGCCCCTCCAAGTTCCACTTTCTCTCTCTCTGTCTCTCTGAGTGACAGGAAGATTCCGAGGTAATTTGGCTGATGGTTTTTAACTGAAATCAATTTTATAGATAATCTCTTTTTCGAGCACCACATTGAAGAAA